ATGATAATTGAAACAGGAACTCTGTGCAATTAATTATATCTTCTGTCATAAACAGAGTCTACAATTTTGAGTTTTTTTGTCATAAACAGGGTACCCCTTTCAGAATCCCAGCGGAACACCACTACCCAAATCCTGGCGGAGTACCCCCCCCCCCCCCGGGCATTTACCGTCCACCATACTCATCTACACAAAATTTTGCAACCAATTCTGCCTGTTATGCAGAACTAGGTCGACTCCGTCTGCATGTAGCTGCAAACTTAAGATGCATAAGGTACTGGCTCAATCTAGTTACACATACATCGAGCCATAAAATTACATTCTTAGCATATAAAGAAATGATAAGCTCCAGCCGTAAAATTTGCTGGAGCCAAAAAGTAAAAGAGTTACTATTAAAAAATGGGCTGGGTGATATATGGCTAGAAGTAAATTCCAATAACTCTCGCCAGCCAAACGTCTTTGTTACTATCAAAACGAGATTTGAAGACATAGAGAAACAAAGCTGGCTCGGGGAGATCTTTAATGATAAAAGAGACACCCCTGGCCAAAAGAACAAATTAAGAACGTATCGCCTCTTCAAAGTTAGTTATATGTTACTAGGTTACCTAATAAATGTAAAAAATTTCAATCACAGAGCCTTAACTAAGCTAAGAATAAGTAACCATGACCTAGAAATTGAAAGAGGCAGATACTCTGGTTACAAGAAGGTAGAGGAAAGGAAGTGCTTTCATTGTACTGATATAATAGAAAGATGAAAGACACTTCCTAATTAAATGTCCTCTATACTCTAAACTTAGAGAAGAATTTCTTATGCAAAATAACATAAGTAACTCCCTTACGGAGGACCAATTGTTCCTGAAGTTGATAGATCCTCCCCATATTTTACAATCAGCTGCAGCAAAATACATTTACAATTGTTTTGCTCTGCGTAGTGAAAAAAAGCAACAACAACAAAACAAATAAAAATCAATACTTGTATAATATTGCATAAAGATGATTAGGATTAGTAACGCATTTTATCGAAATAATTATATGAACATTTATATATACAGAATATAGAGAGAATAAGAGAAAAATATCCTGCCAAGGGCATTTTATATTTTTCTCTTATTCTCTCTACTTCATTATATACACACCGAACGCACAATTTATTACTACTATACTATACAGAATATATATGTACGTATGAGGTGTATGTGTGGAATATGTGAATATAGATATTGTGCACATACATAAACGTACGTATATATTCGTAACTTATTTGGATCTAAGTTGATGTGCAACTTTGTACAAAACGCCAAATAAAATATGTCTGTCTGTCTGTCTACACATCCTATTACACCTCGTGTGTTCTTCGATGAATTCAGTTCATACCTTGAGACAATCATCCTTTCTCCAGAGTCACTAATATATATTAACAGGGGACTTTAACTTTCATGTGGATGTGCCCTCTGATACTGATGCTCGCGTTTTCCTTGGCATTCTCGCATCAATGGGTCTCAAACAGCATGTGACAATACCTACTCACGTCGAAGGTCATACTCTGGAGCTAATGATCACCCGTGAACAAGACTCTGTTATTGCTAGTACACCCGTTGCCGATCGATATCTGAGTGATCATGCATCTGTACTCTGTACATGCAATACGAACAAACCACGTCTCAGGGTTACTGAGATATCATATCGGAAATTACGAGCTATTGACTTGGACCAGCTTCGGGATGATCTCCGTGAATCTGATCTTTGCATGAACGAAGTCATCGATGTTACGGAACTATCAAAATCTTACCAATCAACCCTGAGCTCGCTACTTGACAAGCATGCCCCACTTAAAACTAAGACTGTGGTTAACAGACAGCGTGTTCCCTGGTTTAATTGTGACATCAAAAATGCAATAAGATCTAGAAGAAAAGCGGAAAGAAAATGGCGCTCTTCTAAGTCTTTTATAGACTATCAGGCTTTCAAAACAGCACGTAATTATGCAACACACGTCATGAACGGTGCACGCCGTGAGTATTACACCCAGCTAATAGAGGAGAACAGCTCAGACCAAAGGAAGCTTTTCCAAACTGTAAGAACTCTCTTATGTGACTCTTCTGAAGTGTCATTTCCAGACGAGACACCTCCTNGGGGGGGGGGACTCCGGGAAAAAAGTACCGGGGATGCTCGTCGTATCTCTTGGGGGTAAAAATTCACGATTTGGTATCTTTTAGGGTGTTGAATGCGAATTTTTGAAAATCAGCATTTTCTGGTATGTTTTAGGGTGTCGGAAAAGGAGAGACGCGTGCATCGATGTGGCTTATCCTAGGCGCTTTTTATATAAAATTCAATATTATTTGTTGTGGTATCTCTTAGGGGTTAAAAATCATTCAGCCACGCTCTTTTTAAAAGACCCCGGTACTTTTTTCCCGGAGTGTCCCCCCCCCCCCCCCCCGGGTGGATGTGCCCTCTGATCCTGATGCTCGCGTTTTCCTAGACATTCTCGTGTCAATGGGTCTCAAACAGCAAGTGACTATACCTACCCACATCGAAGGTCATACTCTGGACCTACTGATCACCCGTGAACAAGACTCTGTTATTGCTAGTTCACCCATTGCCGATCGATATCTGAGTGATCATGCATCTGTACTCTGTACATGGAATACGAACAAACCACTGCTCAGGGTTACTGAGATATCATATCGGAAATTACGAGCTATTGATTGGGACCAGCTTCGGGATGATCTACGTGAATCTGTTCTTTGCATGAACGAATTCTTGGTTTGCAATCAATCCCAAGATAGCACAATAACAAAAGGTAAAAATGAAAAGGTAAAATCCCTCTTTTACTCCGACGAAGGACTAGCGTCCGAAACGTCAGTAAGTTTTTTCATCTTTTCACGGTGTATAATTTACTTTTTCATTTTTACTGTTTCATTAGAAACACCGACGCAGCTCACACTAGTTTTTAGCTAGTTATATCTTTTCAATAACAAAAGGGATGTCCGCCATGTTGGAAGATATAACAAAAGAATTCATTGAAAAATCTTTTGTCAAATTCTTCCAACATGGCGGCTATGACGTCTATTGCAAACGAAGAATTCATCGATGTTACGGGACTATCTACATCTTACCAATCAACCCTGAGCTCGCTTCTTGACAAGCATGCCCCACACTTAAAACTAAGACTGTGGTTAACAGACAGCGTGTTCCCTGGTTTAATTGTGACATCAAAAACACAGTAAGATCTAGACGGGAAGCGGAAAGAAAATGGCGCTCTTCTAAGTCTTTAATAGACTATCAGGCTTTCAAAACAGCACGTAATCATGCAACACACGTTATGAACGGTGCACGCCGTGAACACAGTGAAAACAGCTCAGACCAAAGGAAACTTTTCCACACTTTGAGAACTCTCTTATGACATTCTTCTGAAGTGTCGTTTTCAGACGAGACACCTCCTGATGTTCTTGCTGCTAGCTTTGGCAACAACTTCATTCAAAAGATTGATACAATCACTAGTTCTCTGCGTAGCTGTGACAGTACAACCAACAATGATCACCTTATTGATACTCACGAGGAGTTGGATGGAGAGCCACTCACTGCCTTTGAGCCACTCACGACAGACCAGGTTGCTCAGCTCATTAGAAACGCTTCTCAAAAGTCATGCCCTCTGGATCCTCTGCCTACATCTGTGCTACTCCAGGTGTTAGATGTTCTTTTGCCAGTAATCACCAGATTGATAAATTTATCTCTTCTATCTGGAACCTTTCCATCTGACTGGAAGCTCGCACTCGTACGGCCTCTACTTAAACCTGGCAAGCATGAAGTGGAATTCAAGAATTTTTGTCCGGTAAGCAATTTACGATACGTTTCCAAGCTAACTGAGTCAGTCGCATGTAACCAAATGAAAAATCACATGGCTAAAAATGGACTGCACCTGAAGCTCCAGTCTGCATACAAGCAGCACCATAGTACTGAATCTGCTCTTATAAAAGTGAAGAATGACATACTGATGTATATGGAAGAACAAAAGGTCACACTTTTAGTACTATTAGACTTAACTGCAGCATTTGACACAGTACAACATCATGTTCTTTTACATCGATTGATGTCAAGGTTTGGAGTAGTAGAAGATGCATTGAAATGGTTCATCTCGTATCCAACTAACAGATGTCAACGTGTTGCTGTTAACGGAGGAATCTCAGATATCTTCAGAATCAAAGATGGGGTACCACAAGGCAGCTGTCTTGGACCTCTTTTGTTCACGATATACACAAGCAAGCTGTTTGATATAGTGGAAAAACAGCTTTAAAACGTTTACTGTTATGCTGACGATACGCAATTATATCTGGCGTTCACACCGGGCGAGGACGACAACGCAATCAATGCAATGAGTAGCTGCATCGATGACCTTCGTACCTGGATGGCTAACGATCATTTAAAGTTGAACGAGGATAAGACAGAGTTTCTATTAATTGGAACTAAACAGCAACTTTCAAAAGTTAACATCGACAGAATTACTGTAGGTAATGAAGTAGTCAATCCTAAAATCGTGCGTAAGAAACTTAGGCGCGTGGTTTGATTCAACGCTAAGTATGTCTGCTCATATAAACAAGACCTGCGGCGCAGCTTTCTACCATCTACATAATATAAGTCGAATACGCAAGTTCTTAAGCAAAGATGATGTTATTACGCTTATTCATGCTTTTATAACCAATCACGTCTTGATTACTGCAACAGTCTATTGTATGGTCTTCCAGCATGCCAGCTTAATAAAGACAGCGCTTTTTTTAACGCTGCCGCGAGACTTATTTGTTGCGCTCCTCGTTATTGTCACATTACAACACTATTATAGTTGATCTACACTGGCTACCAGTGAAAGAACGTACGCAATTCAAGATCTTGCTATTTGTTTTCAAAGCTATTAATGGTATCGCACCTGATTACATCTCTGTGCTTATCAACATAAAGGATAAGGAGCAGCAGGTAGGGGGACTCGCGATCGATGCCAAAGATATACGGGTTTAACTCGCGGATTTACGAAGACGGGTACAGCAGATTTATCGCAAACGGAGGTTAAAATATCTTATAAATATACGATGCACGAATGTAAGAAGTTCGTTAACGACTTTTGCA